ACCTCAGTTCACCCATCAAATTCCTTCCTCACTTTCCTCCCCTTTCACCCCCTACCCCCTCTACCACCACCACCACATCTACTGACATCACATGAGATTTTATTACAGAGTATTGAGCAGTATATACTATAAACACAGAGATCAAAATGTGGTAGAGATAGTAAGAGAGAAGTAGAGATAGTGAAAGTGATAGAGAAGAGACTGTAGAGTAGTAGAGATAATGATGATGATAGAGAGGCTAGAGAGTGGAAAAGATGATAGAGAGAGGTGATAGAGATGGTAAGAGAGAGATAGAATGATAAGATGAGAGTAGAGATAGAGAGTGAAAGTGATAGAGAGTGCTGCAAGGCAGTAGAGGCAGTGGTGGTGGTAGAGGTGGTAGGGGTGATAGAGGTGCTAAGGGGTGGTAAGGGGTGGTAAGGGGGGGTCGGAGTGGAAGAAGTGTAGAGGTGGTAGAGGTGATAGAGATGGTAAGAGAGTGAGTGATAAGATGGGGGTAGAGTAGAGATATGAAGTGGAAGTGATAGAGGGGGCTGTGAGGTGGTAGAGGCAGTGGTGGTAGAGATGGTAGGGGTGGTAGAGGTTGGTAGGAGTGGTAAGAGTGAGTGGTAAGATGAAGGTAGGAGTATGAAGTGAAAGTAATAGGGGGTGCTACAGGGCGTTAGAGGCGGTGGTGATGGTAGAGAGTAGATAGAGTGGTGCAATTGGCAGGCGCCACCGCGCCACTACATATCCATGGATGGATCCATGGATTTGATGGGGTGCATGTGATATCATGTGAGGTCACGTTACAGGGCATTTTACTCGGAAAAGTATATAGAGAGAGAGATTACGGCAACAACTAAAATATGACAACATATTAATATTACAGCATATTTCAACAGCCGAAGCTCACAATACCCCATTTTTCACATACCTCCTAGCGTATTTTTCCCTTGTTCCATTCCCGAGTTCCAGTGCCGGGCAAAATGTTTAAAATACCCGCCAAGACTCTAAGGATAATTGCTAGCGGAGGATACCGCTCATATGAACAGGAAAACAGGAGAGAGGTCATGTGTGCTGTACCATTTTTTTATTGTGTTTTTTTTTTTTTTTTTACTTTTCTAGAAGAGTTGTCAGATCACAAGTGCTTCTTTAGTCTGTCTGAAAAAGTTCCAGGGATGAATGGGCGCTGATTTGATAGATATATTAGTTACATTTAACTTTTTTTTAAAAAAAAAAATCAGTGTAATCATTTAGTTACTCTTGTTGAGAATTTTTTTTTTTTTCCGTTTAGCCTTTTTTTCAAAAGTTTCTTTTGTCTGTCTGTTTCAAAGAAAGAGCCTTTCCGCATGGTTCGATTTCAGGAACGGGGAATTTTTTTTTTCTTAATGTTCGCCCGTTGAAAAAAGTTTGGGGGTATGATGTCATTACAACTCTGTGCTTGGGCCCAGATTGCTCGTGAATTAGAAAGCCGAGGACGTCGTGGCAATAGGCCTCGGGTCGGACTGCGCTGTACAGTACATGTACTGTACATGCTACTGTACATTTCAACATCCATGGCCCCTGTAGTTATTACGTACATATATATATATAGTTATATACAACTACAGCGTAGACCATGTTGAGATTTCAAAGCTCAAGTAGTATAAAACTACTACATTATTATTATTGACTCGCGCTTTGCAACATTCACTGTTACTATTTGATGGGGGGAAAAAAGGCAACAACTGCTACTGCCAAGACATAAATTACGCGTTGAATAACCTTATAATGCATGTTTACGCGATCACGTGATATTCCATAGTTCGCGTTGAAGGGCGCGTTTTCCGTCCATGTAAAAAAAAAAGAAAAAAAAAAAAAGAACCAAAGACAGAAAATGTGTATAATTGTGAAG